GTTGTTGTTTTTTTTTCCCCTGTGCAAAAAGAACAGAGCATTTATTCCTGCGCTCCCTTAAATTTCAAGATACATTTCCAGCGATCCAGACACCAAGCTGGCATTCCAAGCAACAGTATATTTTATATAACTGATTTTGTTTTTACCACTTTATAAAGCCATACAATGAACTGCAAAGAATCTGACATCTGTACAACGGGAAGACAACAGCGGAGTCATATTCACACACGAACATGGTGTGACCGAAGTCATCCTGACACGCGCGACAACATCATGGGCACAAAGATACAAAATATAATGTATTTTTTTTCCATCTATATAAATACACAGAAATGGGCGAGTCTAAAAGTTTGAAACTGTTCATTAACACTGATTAGCAAACAAATCTGTAACGTTTCCAAAGTAACAAAGACAACAACAAAACAAGAAAAAAACCCAAACCCACACATAACACGGCGGTACAGGATCCACCAACAGAATCGTTGGGTTGTTTCCTTTTTCTTTTTCTTTTTCTTTTTTTTTTTTCCTTTGTAAGGAAAAAAAAAGAAAAAAAAAAAAAAAGAGTAACCCCAAACCAACCTACCAACCTCACAATTTGCAAAACAAACGAACGAAATGAAACAAGCCCCTGCGGGCTCCTTTGCTGTCTGATCCTCCTGCCTGCTCCAACGGGAAGGGTTGCCTTTTGTTGACGCTGCTGTCTGGGGTTTTTGGGGCAACTGGTTTTTTTACCTGCCTGACCTGCTGGGTGGGGATTTACTTTGCGCTTTGGTTCAGCCAGTTGAACTCAATGGAAAATGGATGCCCAGAGGCTGGGTTGGGTTTTTATCCCTACTTGGTTTGTTTTCTATGTGTGGTTTGACCAGGGGGCAGCCAGCAAATACTGCATCCAGAGCAACCCCAAACTTCACTACATTTATTTGCTTAAATCCATGAGCCCCCATCTCTAGCAGCCACGGGGGGGCAAAAAAAAACACATGAGATGGGTGCATCCCATCAGCATATGATAACATGGATCACCTCCAAAAACACCTCCCAGGGGAGCAGAGCCAGAGGAAGCCTCACTGAATGGAAACTGTGCTACCATTTGGGACAGGCAGCGAACAACCCCCCACCGGGAGCATTTCCCAATCGACAGTAACATCGACAGCAAAGGGAGGACGGGTGGGAAGGGGCTTTTCCAAAAAATAAACTGACACAAAAAGGGCACGTACAATAAGTTCACACACTCAAAAAAAAAAAAATTATATATATATATGTGGGGAAAAGTGCGTTTTTAAGGATATCTTTGGCAAGAATATATGCAGTTCTTTGTGCAGGAAGGAGGGATGTGTTTGTGTGTGTGTGTGAGAGAGAGAGATACCATCCGGCTGCTGACAACGGCAGTGTGATTACAACGAAACATATGCTGGGCTTAACTCGTGCAAGCTTGAATCTCAAATACCATGACTGCATTTAAAAACCAAAGAAAAAAAGTAAAAAACCAACAACAACAACAAGTCTTTTCTGTCCCTTTTGTAAAGAAAAAAATATCAACACTAGGTCCCCACCAGTCCCAGGAGCTGGGCAATCTTTAATACCAGCTGATGATCTCTACCAGGGACAGAAAGGGTAGTTACACCTACAAAAGTAACTTAGGAGTTAAAAGGGGGGGGGGGGGGAAAAGGGCCTT